AATAAAATATTTTGGAAGCATGGATATAAAGTCCATGGAAAATAGATAGCTATACATGAAAACTTGTTCCTTGTAATGTGAGATTCATATGATTTTTTTCCCCTCTACTCACTTTGCTAAATCTATTTTTACTTTCAAACTCAAAATACTCAGTTTTCTCTGAAGGACGGCATTTGGAAGGCTCTTAATTATGGTAGATTTCATCCTCAGCATGCAAATACATCCTACCCATCACACTATCTGTTTGTGTAACCCTGAAATGTGTTTAATTAGATTCTTCATGGAACAATGGGTTCAAATTTGTGCTCTATAAAGTTCAGCAGATTCTGTGCTATTAAAGCAGATTAAGAGACAGCAAAGCTAAAAATGGAAATTTATTTGTTTTTTATTCTTTTACTTTAACCTGGAAATGTTAATATTTTCCCTCTTTTTTATAATTGGCTTAAATGTCCTCCCCATTAGTAGGAGGGAGAACACCATTTAATTTAAGTAGTGTTTGTAGTTTTGCAAATATATTCTAAAGTTCTTGAAAGGAAAAAGACCATTTATACTAAAGATTTATAATTTTCAGGAGGTACATATCCATTTATTATTTGTCCACTAAAAAGGATACAACAGACGTTTTTGAAATGTTTTAAAATTTATTGTTTGACATCTGTCAGTGGAAGAATATTTTTCTGGCTGAGAATCTGTCTCTTGGAAGGATGCAATTGTGTTTTGCCTTAATGGATTGCTGAGATAGCACAATAAAAACCAATTAGCTGCTGAGTCAGTATGAATAGCCATATAAACTCTATTTCCAATACTCAGTTTTTGGTAAAAGTTTGAAAAATAAATAGATAAAGAAAAACAAGCAACTCTATTGTACACGTCATTGTTCAGCTTCCTGTTTTATTGCAGATACTTTGCAATATGAAGACTGGATCATGGTGTATTGCAATAATGTACTATCTGTGCAGCATCACTGTGTTATGTTTGAAGTACTATTCTTGTATAAGAAATTGCATGCTATTTGATCACTAATTCTTATTTTAAAAATTTACTTGAAACCCGGAGGGAGAGGGAGAAGAAGAGGAAGAGGGAGGGAGGGAGGGAGGGAGGGAGGGAGGGAGGGAGGGAGGGAGAAGAGAACCTTCCAATTTGCTGATTCACTTCCCAAACACCCAAAATGATGTCTAGCTAGAGCTAAAGCTGGGAGCCTGGCACTTAATCCAAGTCTCCCCTGTTGATGGTGGAAGGCAGTCACTTATGCATTCATTAGCACACCTCTCAGGATCTGTATTAGCAGGAAGCTGGGGTCCAGGGATGCAAATGGGTTTCAGACCCATGCATTTCAGTGTGGAATGCACTGTTAGAGTAAATGTCTTTATTGAATGGCTTTTCGAGTATGCATTTTTTAAGATAAAATCCCCAGTTTTTGTTTATATTTTTGTTTTCATTAATATGGGTAATTTATCAGTGAAATTAATTGATAAGTGCAAGCTATAACATATATTTGAGTACCCTTAGAACAACTAGTGATCATTGTAAGTATTCTGTACTCTAAGACATTCAAGTAATAAATTCACTTAAAATTTTCCAAGGAAGACCTTCATTTACATGAAATGATAGAATTCATTTGGACCACATTTGTGAGCTGGAGTCACTGACATTTCAGAACTGTTAATACTGAATATGGCTTTAAAAACTATATTTAGGAAATATGCTTTGAAATCTGTCATTAATTTTTATTAATAAAACCTTGATATGGTTATGAACATTTCCGCTTTTGATCATCATTGAATTCCAGTTATACAGCATAATGTTTTGCACCAGATATATGTTAAATATGTGTGGAATGGGCCGGCGCCGCGGCTCAATAGGCTAATCCTCCGCCTGCGGTTCTGGCACACCAGCTTCTAGTCCCAGTCAGGGCTCCAGATTCTGTCCCAGTTGCCCCTCTTCCAGGCCAGCTCTCTGCTGTGGCCCAGGAGTGCAGTGGAGGATGGCCCAAGTGCTTGGGCCTGGCACCCACATGGGAGACCAGGAGAAGCACCTGGCTCCTAGCTTCAGCGTTGGCCACAGCGCGCTGGCCGTGGTGGCCATTGGAGGGTGAACCAACGGCAAAGGAAGACCTTTCTCTCTGTCTCTCTCTCTCTCTCACTGTCCACTCTGCCTGTAAAAAAAATACAAAAAAAAAAAATGTGTAGAGTTTTTTAATGTATTATGACTGATTCCTTTAGAGTCTTTTCAACGACCTGAAATGATACTTATGAAAAGTGTATGAACTGGCTATGAATTACTGTTATAAGGAATCTACCAGTTAGTAACAAATATTAATTTTTCATTATCATAGTCCTATGCTGTTGTGAATAAATCTTCAGACATTGAAATGATGTTTATGGACCTAGGTGCTAAAAAACTTCTCTCAATATTCAGTGATGTTCCCTGTGTAGTTGTTTTCTTGTATTTTTATTGATTACATTTTAAATATTTAAAAATTTAACTCTAAGAGAAGCTTATGACCACAGAAAGTTTCTACAAACCATCAACTCAGAACATTTTAACCAATAATATGCAGTGAAACATTAATTTTTCTTTGCTAAATTTAGAGTTTTTGAAAAAAAATACCATTTCTTAAGGCTTAGATAAATAATGCAGATGTCACATCTATATTTGCTTCCTCTGGTTTATTGCCTGTTTTATGGTTAAATCTGCTCCTAGGAGCCAATGACGTGGTGAGAAGGGTTATGGGAAATATGAAGAGAATGTGGTGAGCTAAGAGCAGAGGAAGTAAGATAATGTTCTTACCATAAAGGAAAGGCATAAGCAGTCATACCTGAGGCACTCTGGGAAAGAAGGGACTCATGCTTTAGTTTTCTTGAAGTAACTAATCATTGTTAACAGTAGTGTCAAAGTACGCGTAAGCTAAATGCTTCCTCACAGGGAAGAGGTAAGGATATGAAGTACATTTTGACAATGGAATATTAAGCAGGCATTGAAAGTGATGTCTTACAAAATTTTAATAATGTAGGAAAACATGTATGTTGTTACATTGGCTGTAAAGGAACAACTTGAAATTCTATATACAGTAAGATCTCAATTATAGAAAAAAAAGCAAAAAAAAAAAACCCACAAAGGAACATTGATCTCAGTGCATTATGAGTGATTTTAATTTTGTACTTTACATATTCTGTATTTTCCAAATTCTGTGATTATGCTTTGCTTTGTCTTTAATGTGAATGAATATCTTCTGTTGTTTGAAAGGGGAGACATCAGGACCAAAATCGTAGGTGATGTAGAAAGAACTTTACTTCCTGTATGAGGGAGAGCGGAGCAGTACCTTGAGCGAGAGGAGTATTAGGGGCTTAGAAGGTGAAGCCATATATGAAGCAAGAGAAGAGTTGAAAAAGAATTAAACAAGTGTACAGTGAGAGCCAGGAATGATAGTGTCACATCCAAGGAAAGAAGGATTTTTAGCAAAATTGATGCCACAGTAGATTGAGGAACGTCATTGCATTTAGAAATAAGGGTCAGAGGCGACTGCTGAAGAAACCATGGCAGTGTGGTAGATTTAACACCCTAGGGATATTTTGTTTCCTTTTATTTTAATTAAATATTGCTCATATATGTTGAAGATTACCAGCGTTCAGTGATAAATTTGTACCAATGTATACAACACATATATAGTCAATATATACTCAATGCATTTACATATAAATATTTTAATGTATATACATGTATATATTTCACATACACACATACATTTAAATAAGCATGTAAATGTGTAATGTGTGTGTATGTGTGCATATATACATGTTTTTAGATCCAGGCAGGAAAATCAAACTCATATCTGGTAATTCCATAGATAGATTTAATATGGAGTATGAGTTCTAAGATGACACAGAGAAAAAATATGCTGCCAGCCCCAAGGCTTCTAAGAAAGAGATGTGATCTGAAATTAGGGGTAATCCAAGCAGGAACTGAAACCATAAAGAAGATGAGGCACAGCCACAGACCACTGTTGAGGTACAGAAGGGGAGAAACACCCTGGTTTTCTCTCCCTCAACCCTTCAGTCTCCCATCAGTGTTTCTGCTTGCCCAAAATCACAGAAGCTAGTTGGCCAGAGAGCCTGGGATACGTGGTTCAATGGAGGCAGCTCTCTGGGATGTGAAATGGAACAGAACAGGAATAAGGGATGGGGAATGTTTTTTAGGATGTTTATATGGAGAGCAAGGAAGCTCAACATTTTTTGATGAACTAAAATATTTACCAAAAGACATAATGAAATCTACTCTTTTGAGTCATTCCTAACTAGCTGGGTAAAATATTGTCTTACTCTGAGAGCAGGACCATAGATTAAATGATGTCAGGGAGTTATTTTCAACTGTGTAATTTTAGCGTATCATAAAAACACTTCAATTGTGTTTGAATGCATTTTGCCGCAGTGGTTTTTACGTGAAACATTCACATAATGAAGCTACAGAGTCCAGACTGTCGTGCTGAAAATATCTATAACATTCTTAGGAGATTTTGCCTCCAATGAAGCTTCAGAATTAATTTTCTGAGGATGGCAATTATTTTTTGCACCATATAGTATGCTTTATGTAGACGGAAGAATAGGTTTATAAGATAATATTCAGCAGCTTTCTTTGTGAACATTATGGCTACATGTATTCAGTGTTACTACACATTTCTCTTACTTATATTAAGATTATTAAAATGTACTCTCAAGCTAATTTCTTAAAGGTATTTATTTTTTGGTATAAAGTACTGGCTTAAATATTGATAATCAATATTTTTAAAACAATATTTCTATTCGTTTTATGATTACCTTAATCTCAGTTGGTTCCACATTTTGTGGACAGCAGAATTAATTTTAGTAGTCAGTATTGAGGGAAAAATTAATATACTATTTGTGAAGAGCATCAAATTGATCCCTTGACACAAATCCTGGTCTTGGATTAAGCATATCTCAAAGTTAACATTCCCATTTAAAAATTTTGTTTCTCAATTTCAGACGTTTGGAACAGAATGCAATCAAGGTCATCCCTCCTGGAGCTTTCTCACCATACAAGAAGCTTAGAAGAATGTGAGTGACAGTATTATGTAATATGTGTAACTTCAAAAATTATATAGGTTATGGCCATGCATAGAAACCTAATTATGAATCATTAAGTGTGTGACAGCTCAAATATTAAGTGTTGTGACTGATTGCTAGTTCTAGACTAAAACTTCAATCTTAATAGCTAAACTATGTAATTTTTACAGTGCTTTGTAATTTGACATACTGATTCACACAAATGTGAATGTATATAGTCAATATATTATGCAAATTCTCACATATTCTATGGTCAAAAGGCGTAGCATTTTTAATGAGAATTCAGGAAAATAGCTGCTGGTTGATTTAAAAAGCATAATTTAGGATTCTTCAGATGTTTCATGTGGCAAATTTTATACAAGTAGCAATAGGTGGAACATTGACAGGTGAAGGCTGTACATGGAATGCGCCTGCAGTAAACCTCACTGGCACCTTGTGTGATTTAACGGAACCCTGTTTCTGATTGTAGCGACCTGAGCAATAATCAGATCTCTGAACTCGCGCCAGATGCTTTCCAAGGACTGCGCTCTCTGAATTCACTGTAAGTATTGATGGTGTGGAAACAGAGCAGAATCCACAACGAAGGGTGGCTGTGACTTCTAAGTTGGCATTTAGGAAAAAGACTCTCCTACGTTTTCATTATGAAATGGACGTTATTAATAATACTAATTATCATTCATCATTAATGATTCCATCACGTTTATGGGAGACTGCTGCCTGTCACTAAGATTAGCAGTTAGTAATGGTATGCATTTTATGGTTTGTCAATTTTGCCACCAATAGAACTAGAGTAAGAGCTCATTTTGGACAAAGTTTTCTTTCTGAAATAAAGGGACAGTGTTTATTTTGGTGTCGTCTAGGTAGTTCTGAGGCTATAGCCACCATGTAAGGGGACTGTCTCAGCCCTCTTTAGATTGATGGCTGACGCCATCTTGCTGTGAAGGTTGAAGATTACCAAGGAGAGGACCCCTCCTCCATTATTTGTTTCATCACCTTGTGACTTTTCCTGAAAGAAATAGCTTTAAACGTGCCAAGAACATAGATAAGAGTGTATGACAGCTTTTAATGTCAAGAAAACTTTCAGAGAGATAGCTATGTAAATTAAGGATGGTCTAAAATAAATTTATAAAAGCTACTGTTCTTTCAAACTTGTAAAAATTCTTTAACTTTCCACCAAGTAAAATGATGTTTAGATCAAGTTTTATTCAGTTTGTAATTGGAGGCTAGCATTTTTATGGTTTTCAAGACTAGATTCTTGGAGATGAGTTCTTACTGAAGTGAATTAGCACAGTCTTTGGGATTTCAGCAGTCAGGGATGGCAAGTGAGAATGCCAAGATACACGAGGGACACATGTAGACCCAGATAAACACCTCAGTTATGTAGAACAGTTACTCTCACACTTACCAAGGGGAGGACTAGGCAGCGGTGCTCATATGGGCACATGGGTGTTCAGGCTGCTATGCCGACCTGCTTTCAGAAGACTGAGTGTTCTTTGAGAAAAGAATATGGAATGTTATCACGTTACCTGAAGTATATGCTTGGGCTCATTTTTGTTGTTTTGTTTTGGAGGTGAGTTTGGTGGCTAGTTGAAAACCAAGGCCTGAAAATGTAGACTATGGTCGTGTGCTTCTCTTAGAGTGGACTCTTGGGTTTTAACGTAACAAAATTCAGTGTAAACTTTAGTTATATAACCTATATTCTCCAAAAATTACTGTGTATATCATCCTGAAAACTAATATTCTCTAAGTAGAACATTAACAATCTCCTAACCAAATAGAAAGACAAACAAAAGCCAAGTTACTGTACCAATTTTTGGCACTTCAAATATCTGTGCTTCATAGAAAACTATTAAAATAGTTTTAAAAAATAGTTTTTAAAAAAAGTAGGGGCGGCACTGTGGTGCAGTAGGTTAATCCTCCACCTGTGGCGCTGTCATCCAATACGGGTGCCGGTTCTAGTCCTGGCTGATCCTCTTCCTATCCAGCTCTCTGTTATGGTCTAGGAAAGCAGTGGTAGATGGCCCAAGTGCTTGGGCCCCTTCACCCATGTGGGAGACCCGGAGGAAGCTCCTGGCTTCAGATCGGTGCATCTCCGGCCATTGCAGCCATTTGGGGAGTGAACTAGCAGATGGAAGTCCTTTCTCTCTGTCTCTCCCTCTCACTATCTCTAACTCTACCTCTCAAATAAATAAATAAATAATATTTTAAAATGTCAAAAATATAAAAATGAATGGAGAATTCTTAGTTATGTCTGCTTGCCTGCTGAGTTTATTATTGAGCTCTCATAATGTTAAATTGCCTTTTATGGCTATGAGAATTAAACTATACTCAAGTATATAACCAGATTTCATTTGCTAACAGAGTAAAAATATTTTAAAATGGTACATTTCCAAATAAATCTATTGCATTTTACATTAAAGAAAACCAAAGTCCATTGTAAATGATTGCCAAAATGGTATCTGTTACATAAAACCAGCCTTAATTTGCTAAATATTTTCAGGTCTTTCCTGTTGAGTAAATACTTTACCATTTATTTATTATTTTAGCCTTAATACTTATTGCATATTATTTATTGTATATAATTATATTACTATACATGAATATATTATATGATATATAGCATAGTAATAGGAAACTTTTTAAAGATTTATGCCTCCATTAAATCAGGATTTTTTATTTCCTTCAATGAGATAGCAATGTAATTTCTAGAGTATTTTTTTTTTATTTTGACAGGCAGAGTAGACAGTGAGAGAGAGAGACAGAGAGAAAGGTCTTCCTTTGCCGTTGGTTCACCCTCCAATGGCCGCCGCGGCCAGCGCGCTGCGGCCGGCGCACCGCGCTGATCCGGTGGCAGGAGCCAGGAGCCAGGTGCTTTTCCTGGTCTCCCATGGGGTGCAGGGCCCAAGCACCTGGGCCATCCTCCACTGCACTCCCTGGCCACAGCAGAGAGCAGGCCTGGAAGAGGGGCAACCGGGACAGAATCCGGTGCCCCGACCGGGACTAGAACCCGGTGTGCCGGCGCCGCTAGGCGGAGGATTAGCCTAGTGAGCCGCGGTGCCGGCCAATTTCTAGAGTATTTAATAAAAATTACGAATTCATCATATTTATATATTTTATATTAACAAAATTAAAAGCTAGAGCAGTATTGCACAGTGCTAGGCATATAACCTTTATGACATTAGATAGCTTGTGTTCAAATCCCAGTTCTATCATTTCTCTGGTATACAGCTGAACATGTTATTAATTTCCCTGTACCGCAGTTAACCATAGTTAGCCCATCTCTAAAACAGGGATAGCATTACTACCCTGCTTGCTTTGTTAAAGCACAGAGAGAGAGGATAGGTATAGGGATGACAAAGTCGTCCTGATACATGTCAGGGTGACGTTTCTGGATTTTAATCATCCATGGGAATTTTTATGCCCAAGAGCCCCAGCACATGATTTTGGTGGATTTTTTTTCCTTTTTTTTTTTTTCATTACCCCTTGCAAACTATTGCAGTTCCCTTACTCTAATTTCATTAAGTGTCACAGATCCCACAGGAATCTACACTGAAAAGAGATCATTATTCCACTTCAGTTTCCTACAGACTTTTCTTGGACTGACGTTAATTCTCCTACTCGGAGTTTACTGTAGGTTTTCAATAAAAATCGAAATGCAGCATCTCTATTTTGTCCCGTTCTTTTCCTTTTCTTTCTTTCCTTCTTTCTTTTTCTCCTTCTTTTTTTCTTTTTCTCTTCTTTCTCTTTTTCTATCTTTCCTTCTTTCTTTGAAAGGAACAGATACAAAGAAGGGAGAAAGAGAGAGAGAGAGAGATGGATTGATCTTCCATCTGCGAATTTACTCCCCAAATGGCCAGGGCTGGGCCAAGTTGAAGCCAGGAGCCAGGAGCTTCTTCTGGTCTCTCATGTATGTGCAATTGCCCAAGCATTTGAGCCATCTTTTGCAGCTTTTCCAGCTGCATTAGCGAGAGCAGGATCTGAAGTGCAGCAGCCGAGACTCAAACCAGCATTCATATGGGATACCAGCAATGCAGATGGAGGCTTAACCTTCTACACCACAGTGCTGGCCCCTGATACTTTCTTAAAAAATACTTAAATGTTATAATTCTCAAATATACATTATTTTTATTTTTGGGATGTAACTGTGTTAACATTTATTGGAATAGTAAAGTGTTCCCATAGCAACTTTTTCATGATAGCGGTCTTACAGGTTCCTGTGTTGGTCATCTTTTCCATAAGAGCTCTGTCTCTGCCAACCTTCTAAAAACCTAAGAAAATTCAGACTGGCCACCCATAGTTGCTGTCTCTTACTACCTGATGTTGAGCTCACAACAATTAAGCTGGGTTTAACATTCTTAACCTTCCTTCCAGTAGCATATATAACAGCTGTCTTAAGATTTCCCTATACTTTCAAAGCACAATAAAACTATCAGCATAATTATATTCTCTTTATAGTATCCTGAATATAAGTCATGTAGAAGCATACTGTAGAGAAGCTATGCAGTTTGTCATTCTTGGTATTTGTATGATATTGTTCAAATCCTCACGTATTTGTTTTTTGTTTCAGCTGAATTTATTTTCATCTTCCAACTTTTTTAAAGAAATTATCTTTCCCTCTTAACAGTATAACACAAATTCTCACTGGACTTCTTGCACTTTATATCTTTATGTAACAAAATGTCTTTCCTTCACTTTTATAGATTTTGGCTCTATTTTACTGGCTGTCATCCTACTTCTTCGCCCTTGTATTTGGATTTTTTTAACTCATTCTCCTTACTGCTTTTTTGATCTCACTGTTGTATAAAAAAGTTCCTGTCTATAGCATTCCCATACCTTTTTGTTATGAAATATCTGTAGCATCACAGCTAGTATTTATTTATTGTAACAGTTTATAGTTGCTGAAATCTATAACAATAACACCTGTACAGATAGAGTTCCCACTTCCTTGCATGAGCTCTTCCTTTTTTTCACCATTTACCCAACTTGTCTTACAACTATAAACACTTTTGATCTATTTTTAATAGTTTTAGACAAGAGCATAGATTTAACTTTGTAAATATGGCACACCTTCTACATGGTACACCTTTCATGCTATTTGAGCAAACCTTTGAAACAAAGGCCCAAATGAACTATCTACTAAATTATTCACCCATTGATTTTCATCTGGTACCCCACAATTTATGAAGGTTTTTTACCTTTCTTATTCAAGAGCATTCAATATATTAAAACTTCTTACTGAAAATTACATTTTGTGGTTGCTTTTTGGAAACCATATCTTTCCCATCTTGGTCATATAAGTGCTCAGAACATAGAGAAAATGTTGACAAACAATAACATATGGATCCATTCTAATTGGGTACCATGCTTAGAAAACTTTGCTTGGCAAAGTTTCTGAATGCATTAACTGAATGGTCTTGAACTGAATACCTTGAATTGCTGCCATGGGGTTACAGATAACTCTTTCATATACTGATTTCATTTTGTTTGGGTAAATTCCCAGCAGTGGGATTGCTGAGTCAAATGGTAGATCTATGTTCACAT